GAAAATATCAATAAATTATTCCAAATAGATTGTTAAAAAAATATTCCCTGTACTTCTTGCTGGAGCTTGTGGATGGGCTGATTAAATTTTTTGGGGTGTGTGTGGGCAAGGAATTTTAACCCGGAGGAGCGCATGGGTTTGACAGGGAGTGGGTTGAGGGCTGATGCTAAAATCAGCAAAAATACGAGTCCATCAGTAAGCCAGTTCCAAACCATCAACTTGCACTTTTAACTGGAGTGTTTCAGACCTGAGTGATATTACAACTCAGTTGGAAATTGAAATGGTACATCCATGGATTTCCCAGGCTTCCTGAAATTCACCAATGAGAAAGGTAATAAAGAGACAGAAAATAAACTGCCAGGACAAACTTGTGAAGAATATTAAAAAAAAAACTGACAATAAGTATTTGAAAAGGATCAGTGAGGTCAAAGTTAACAGGACCTTTAGAAAATGAATCTGGGAAGATAGTTACTAGTTAAAAAAGATATTTTGCATCAGTCTTTGTGGTGGAAGATACTTTGACCACACCATTAGTACCAAAGAATATGTGGGAGGAATTAAGTGCCATCACTATCATTAGAGAAGTAGTATTGAATAAACTAATGGGTCTAAAGGCAGATAAGTCCCCTGGCCCTGACGGCCTGCATCTTAGGATCCTAAAAGAAATAGCTACAGGGATAGTGGATTCCTTGGTTGTAATTTTGCAAAATTCCTTGGACTCTGGAGAAGCACCAGAGGATTGGAAAACTGCCAATGTGATACCCCTATTCAAAAATGGAGGGAGGAAAAAAGCAGGTAACTATAGGCTGATTAGTCTAACATCTATTACTGGAATATAATATTAAAGAAATAATAGCAGCACATTTGGAAAATCATTATCTAATCAAGCAGAGTCAGCATGCCTTTATGAAAGGGAAATAGTGACTAATTTATTACAGTTTTTCGAGGAAGTCTAATCAAAGTGGATAGATGGGAACCAGTAGATATGTTGTATTTGGGCTTTCAGAGGTGTTTGAAAAGATACCTCACAACAGGTTAAGTCATAAGATAAGAGCCCATGGTTTTGGAAGTAATATTTTGGCGTGGATAGAGAATTGGCTAATGGACCATGCAATGGCCATGCGATATCAATGGCTGTCACTTGGCAAAATGGTGCAAAAAAATAAAAACGTTTGTGCTTTAACTGAACAACAGAAACTGCACAAAGCACATTCTGTCATACAGCCATATGCACACACTAATGCTTTTGCATTCCTTTACCTTCCTCTTCTATATGTCAACCCCTGTAGATATAACTGCAGTAAAGGCAGGTGGCTCAAAACCTTGATCTGAATGCTCTTAGCTGATACTGTCTGGGCTTTGGAACCCATAACAGCCTAGCCAAAGGCAATTCCACCTCCAACTGTCCAGAGGTTGACTCAGTCATTGGAAGGTAAGACATCTAGTTGACTAGTACAGCTAGATGTCAAGTGTGTGAGATGAGGTAGCATTCAGAGTCAAATACCCACTTCTATCTTCCAACAGGCCATTATCCCTCTCAATCCCACAGTTGCATTTCACAGTTACCATTTTGATTAACAGCACTATGCTGCAGATTAATGCAGTAAAGTAAGGTCAAGGCTATCTGTCATTATGTTTAAAGTAATCACCCAGGTTATGATCATGGTCACAGCATTTACATTTATTTGATAGCAGCATTTGACATTCTATGGAACTAGTCACACTTTCTGTGAAAAATTGCATCATCCCAATGTCCTGCAACACCAAATTATTCATGTTGGAGATACCTTTTCATGTCACAGTCCCTTCATGTCGAATCAGAAGCTAGGAGCTTTGACAAGTAACTGACCTCCAAATTCCTCAATGCCTATTCATCATTTACAAAGTAAAAGTCAGGACCGTGATGGATTGCCCTTCACGTACTGGATGGGTGCAGCTCCAACAATACTCAAGAAGGTTGATACCAACCACGAAAAGTAACTGGTTGGGGTGCCGTTCATCACCTTCAATATTCACTCCCTCTATCTCTGACACACAGTGGTAGCAGTATGCACCATCTAGAAGATATATAATGAAGTAACTCACCAAGGCTCCGTCGACAGCACCTTCCAAGTCCATGATCTCGACTACCTAGAAGGAGAACAGCAGCAGATGCATGGTGTCACCAACACCTGCAAGTTCCCCTCCAAATTACACACCATCCTGACTTCGAACCATGTTGCTGTCACTCCACTGTCAATGGATCAAAATCCTGGAACTCACTTTCTAACAGTGCTATGAGGGTACCTATACCACATAGACTGCTGTGGTACAAGACAGCAGCTCATCACCACCTTCTCAAAGGGCAATTAGGGATTGTCAATAAATGCTAGCCTAGCTAGCAATGCTCAAATCCTGTGAACGGATTTTTAGGAAAACAGAACGGTTGTTCCTCTGACTGCTGGACCAGTATTTCTCTCTGAGTGCTCACTAACCCCCAACATAATGTCGAATTGAACTGCAGTACAAACCATTGACCCTCCAGAATCTATTGTCATATCTTTACTTCTGGAGTTTCCTACCCCAACTCCACAGAAATTTATGTTCTCACCTGTCTGTTAAATACTGGAATTGGGAACACATCAGTGAGATTTCATCATTCTAAGTGTTGTGCTAACCTTGAGTTAAAACACTACTCAGCTCGCTGAATCAAAAAGCTCCCAACATTCATTGTACTTTCTTCTATTTCTCATTTAATATTGGAACGTCCCACCTCTGCCCCCAGTGCATCCCAAAGTCCCATAATTCACAGTGAAAGTCTAAAATGTTAGATGATTTTTCAACCCAAGGTTTATATCCTGTCTTGTGTCAAAAATTTATAAAAGTTGATTTTTTTTTAAAGCTTGCAATTAACCACCAGATTGGGCACTTGTTTTGATATTGTAATGTTTGTACTGTGGGACTGTCTGACTACTTTTTGGCAAAGCAATATTCCAAGAAAATGAGGGCAACAAAGAAGTGGCAAATAAGATAACCTTGTAAAATGTACCGGGGAACATTTACCCCCAAGCCTTTGCTTAAATTCAAAAAAGACAAGTCAACTCTAATTCGTCAAGCTATTCTCCATGGTAGCACCTCAACCAATCAGTACATTTGCCAAATAATCAGTACCCATTTCCCATCCAGTAAAAATTGTGGTTCTCTTTGAAATGTGTTCTTGCATCTGCCCTGATGAGTACAAGTCAAAAATCTCAATAGCATGTCATTCTTTGCAGTAGTATTTGAAACTAGCTCATTCTAGACTATGAATCTGAAAAATGTGCTTATCTAATTGATTCAAAGCTGCACTTTATGACTGAATAGAATAATTTATCTTAATGTTATTTCATTTTGCCACTAAACATTATGCTGGTAGGAATATAGCTCATAAATGCAATTGTAAAATCATAATGATATGGTTTGTAATTAGCACTTTATATATCCAGAGCCAAATTCTGAGATATGACTGCCTGTAGGCTGTTAGAAAAGGGTGCCATCCAGCAATGTTTAAATCTTTTTGCACCTGCTTTAGTTTATTTGCTTTAGCTTCAATGACAGCATTATAATGGCCATTGGTTGTGAATTATGACTGTTGTCAAAGGCATGTTACAAAAGTGTATTCTCCAATGCAGGGTGCAGCATTACACAGAGACGTTTGAAGAATTTAGCTTCATTGGGTAAAATCAAAAGAAACAATCATTATCAGAAAAAAAATAGTTTCATTCAAATAAATAATCTTCTCCACAATCCAACTGTGAAGGATTTCCCAAGTCTGATTTCACTCATTTCTTTCAACTATAGCAGGACACTCAGGCTACTCTTCTGGGTTTCACACCATCATCTCTGGTGTCTCCCTAGGATTGAACCTTTTTATCCTATTTAGTCCTTTTTATCATTTACATGTTGTTCTTCAGCAACATCATTCAAAAAAAATAACATTTGTTCTCAGACCAATGCTGAAAACCTCCATAGACCTGCCTCACCACCACAGCTCCCGATCCCTCCAATGTCTCCAAATAGTCTGATTGATTGTCTGAACCACAGTGCTGGATTAGCTGGAATTCCCCTGGCTGAATTCTGGATGCTTGAATGTGCTCCATGCGCATTTTCTCTTGTAGTCATTCAAATGGTTGAAAGACGGTGTGTGGCACATGCTCCAATTTTCAAATATTCCACTGCCAATGGGTAAGGAACTTACTGGCAGTGTTATTTCAGAAAGTTTACCCTAATTTTTTCCGAGACTTCCAATTATCTTCACTGAGATGCCCAAAAGCCGGTAACTTCTCATTTGTTTTCTTTTGTGGCCTTTGATTGAAGATTGCCTTAGGCAACATCCTGAATTCATCATCTAGGCAACTAGCAATGCTCCACTGCTTTGAGGGGAGACTGTTACTGCATTAAAGTTGTTTTTTTAGCCTTCCCCCCCATATTAAAAATCATTTTAATGATCAATTAGTCCACATTTAATAAAATGATTTTTGTACAGTATTTAACATTGTCTTCTTGAAAATATTCACATGGATATGGAAGTCCCATACTACAGCATTAGAAAATCTCAGGCATGTACTAACATTGTAATGTGCAGTGCTGCAGCAATGAAACAAAGTCTGGCTGTGTAAATTGACAACCATAAACTTGTTCTCCTCTATCTCTTTCTACTTGTGAATTAAACATGAAGTTGGATTATTCCATAGCAGATTACATGTACAAAACAGCTTTCAGTGGCTGGCAAGATAGTCCTTAATACACAACTCCAATTCCATGAGAACAAATTGAAGCAAGTTTTGCAGAAAGAAAGCAAGAACAAACTGATTTTGTAAAACCTCTGAGCACTACATGATCATCAGCAGCAAAATATTATTCCAAAAAATAAAAATGTCTACCTCCACTTTGCACTATTAGATCAGTACTGGACTATACCTCCTTGATTCAGAGAAGGCAACATAGCCAAAATTTGTTAAGTAGGAAGTAAAGCTACTTGCCTTGCTGCTTTGTGGGCATGATCCATTGGAAAGTCTTGACAAATGAGCTGCAGTAAGGAATGGTATTCATTCACTGTCAGCAGGTCTGAAATAAAATGATTTGAAATTAAAAACAGTCATTGCAGGATAAATCTAAAATAGATGGTAGACATTTTTATAACATGAACACGATTTCATGGATTTACAACAAGAGTTACGATTGGCATTTACTAAATTGATAAAACACCAGTTATTTACCATTAATTTAGCCAGGAGTTACCACCGTTCATGTTTAAACATGTTTACAACTTGTCTTGTGAACCAGGTTATTAACATATAATTGCGAGATATTAACACAGTTCTTGATCGTGAGGTTAAGTTCTACTCAAGTAAATAAAAGTACTCAAAAGACCGCCAGGGACTTTCATGATTTTAGCATTTCATTGATTATAAATCAGTAAGTTCTCAGAACTGTTGTTCTTTCTCAGTAATACAAAACTGCATTTTGCTAAGTGTCCTTGGCCAGCCATCTCAAGTGCATCATCAGGGACCTTTCCTCCCAAATAAGGTCAGATGTGGGCACTTGGTTAATGAAGCCACAGCCTCGGCTTTCACTCCTGAGTCGGACATGTGAACTTGGGAAAGTTCCTGGTTCCACAAACCAGACATGGGATAAAGTGTCTGGAATGTTCAGATTTCCATTCCAGTGGGTGCAAACAGGAGTCTGGTTGGTTTGGAGGCAGTACAGAGGTTGTCAGATGCTGAGTCAGTCTGTTTGAAAAGCTCACCTCTGGGAATTTGTCTTGATTGCAATAAAGGCATGAAACAAAAGAAGTAAGTCTGACCTCTCACAAATTCAATCACCCCATTCATGCCACTTCACACCACCCCACCCAGCCCCATAGTCTCCCAGGCACTCCATGGCAACCTATGTCCCTCTATCCATGTCCAATGTGTTTTATGGTCTGTATGCCAACTGAGTGCCAACTCACACACATGACCCCCACATTGATGGTAGGCTGTACTCTTCTTTGTTCTTTGTTTTTTGTAAGAGAAGATCAGAGGTTGGAACCTCTGGAGCAATTAATTCAGCTCCTAATTCCCCAAAGTCTGTCCACCATCCACAAGGTAAAAGTCAGGAAAATGATAGAATACTCTCAACTTGCCTGGATGAGTGCAAGTCCTAACAATGCCTGAGAAGCTGGACACCACCCAGGACAAAGCAGTCCACTTGATCAGTGCTCCATCTACCACGTCCAGCATACTTTCCCACCATCCCAACGTATTGTAACAACACTGTGTACCACCTATAAAATGTATTTTGCAATTCACCAAAGCTGCTTAGATATCGCTTTCCAAAGTCATGACTTCTACCATCTAGAAGGACAAGAACAGCAGACCAATGGGAAGACCACCACCTTCATGTTCCCCTCTAAGCAGCACACCATCCTGACTTAGAGCTATATCCTCATTCCTTCACTGTGACTGGGTCAAAATTCTGGAACTTCCTCACAGTGTTGGGGATGCAAGGTGAATCATGACCAACTCTCAGTGGCACTCAGTGGGAATGCAATAAATGTTGGCTTTGCTAGTGGTGCCTGCATCAGAAAGACAATTTAAAAAAAAAATCACCCATTTTCCTATGATGCCTAAAAAAAAGCAAGTTGGGAAGAAGGCTATCAGGCAACTAGCTCGAGGCAGGAAATTTTTCACCTTGGCAAAACCATCTGAGCAAAATGTTCCCCTAATCTTAGGATGTTCACCCTGAGAAGTGGCCAAGGAATTGAGTGGGGCCCACAACCCTGGAAGCCCAAGACATATGACCACGTAAGCAAGTGAGTGATATAGCATGCTGGTTATGAAGTTCTGCCTCAGCTCTCCTGGTTTTTGACCCAACTGTTTAAAAAGATTTTAGACCCTATAGCCTCCTTTTTCATCCAAGCCCTCTGGCTTATCATACCACAAAAGCAGATCCAGAGCTGCTCACCCAGTATCTACCATGGGCAGAACTCAGCAGTCATTTGGAGACAACATAAAATGAACTTTTGACAATCTAATATCGGTGTCACCATATTATTTGCTAGTAAAAGACTCCTATTTAAAATAGCAACAAAGCCTTTAAATCTCATTGAGTGGTTAATCTCTGATAAAAAAAAAACTAAGAAGCTTCAGTTTATATCACCAGTCCTGTGAACTCAGAATGCCTGCTCAGAAATGTAGCTTTGAAACTCAGCCAAGCTTTCATAGTGAACAGTGCTAAAATGTCAAAAAAAGCTATATTGGAATTGTTCGAACAGATGCTATATCAATCAAAGTAACTCAGCAGATATCTCTTTAAATATCGTGGCAGCTATAGCCGGACATTTTTATAGATTAAGGACCAAGGCATTTATAAAAAAAAACTTTAGATCATGACAGCCTAACACACCTTATCTGCCATTCAAGGGCATTCAGGTCTATTTTGTTCATTCAGACTACCACACAATGGGTTAAGGACTTTGCTACAGCCAAAACTGCGAATGCTTGAACATAGTACTGAGTTCAAAGAAACCTGCTGAATTCAAGTTTCCTTTCTTTCTTGCCTCTCTCTCCCTTACTAGCAAAAACTGAATCTATAGGTAATGGGAGTGGGAATTCTGCCTCTAGGTTCCATCATCATTTTTAAAGAAACAGAAACTTCTAGAAAATCACAGCTGGTCTTGCAGTATCTGTGGACATGGCCATGGGCCCCAGTTATGCCAGTCTCTTTATAGGGCATGTGGAACATTCTGTGTTCCAATCCTACTCCAACCCCAACATACAACTCTTTCTCCGGTATATCAATGATATCATCAGTGCTGCTTCTCTCTCTCATCTTGAATTGGAAAAGCTTTACTATTTCACTTCCAATTTCCGCCCCACTCTCTTCTTCACCTGGTCCATCTCTGCCTGCTCCCTTCCTCAATATCTGTTTCCATTTCTGAGGATAGGCTGGCCACCAATATCCACTTAAAACCCACTGACTCCCACAGTTAACTTGACAATACATCCTCACACCCTGCTGCCTGTGAATACTCTATTCCATTCCCCCAGTACCTCCGTCTCCATCACATCTGTTCTAATGATGCCAACTTCGATAAGGGGAGCCTTAAGTATCCACCTCCTTCTTCAACCGAGGACTCCCCAGCACCGTTATTGATAGGGCCCTCAGCTGGGTCTGACCAATCTCCCACACTGGCCCTCGCCCCCTCTCTTCCCCCCTTCCACAACAACGATAGGGTCTCCCTTGTCCTCACCTACCATCCCACCAGCATCCACATCCAGAGGATCATTAGCCTCCTTCACTCCCGACATGTCCCCAGACTTCCATGGCACTTCCCCTGCAATCACAGAAGGTGTAACACCTGTCCATTTACTTCCCCTGCAAACAGCTTTACCTGCACTTCAGTCAAACCAGCCTCCTGCATTCGCTGCTCAAACTGCATTCTCCTCTACATTGGGGAAATGAAGTACAGACTGTGTGACCGCTTCACAGTATACCTACATTCTGTCTGCAAAACAAGACCCTGTGCTTCCAGTTGCTTGCCTTCAATAAAGCACCTTGTTCTCTGGTCATCATCTCTCTCTCAGGCTTGCTGCAGTGCTCCAGCAAAGCTCAGCGCAAGCTGGAAGAACAACACCTCATTTTCCACTTGGGAACCTTCTGGACTCAATATCGAGTTCAACAATTTTAGGGCTTGAGCACCTTTCCCCATGCTTTTCCCCACCCCCAGACATCAGGCCTTGTCATCACATGGACTGCCAGCACACACCAGCGGGTCTGGCAGCATTGTGGAGACAAATAGGTTCCTAGCTACAATCAGTTTCGAAGAAGGGTCACTGGACCCGAAATGTTAGCTCTGATTTGTCTCCGCATGCAGCCAGGCCTGATGAGATTTTCCAGCATCCGCAGTTCTTTCGGTTTTTTTTTGTCTAACATTTTTAGAGATCTGTGGAGCTTTAGTATCTCTGTGAAAATCCAGCCCATTGTCTCTGGAAGCTATTGGCTTTCATTAATATCTGATCTTTACTATCTGGCTAATAGGTGTGTAGTAATTTGTGGATTGGGAACATGTAGATTCAACTTGTTGAAGAAATGAGTAACTTGTTAGGTTACTTCAAAGGAAGTGTTAGTGTGGAGTGCAGTGACATATGACACTGGGTAAGGATGGCAGGTTTCTTTTCCTCTCCTTTGGAGTGATAAACAGATCTTCCTTTTGATTAGAGATAGTAGGAACTGCAGATGCTGGAGAATCCGAGACAACAAGGTGCAGGGCTGGATGAACACAGCAGGCCAAGCAGCATCATAGGAGCAGAAAGGCTGACGTTTCGGGCCTAGACCCTTTGATTATCCAGGTTTGCTTATACGTCAGCCTCTCTGTCACTGGTAGGGTGAAAAATAAAATAATACAGGAAACCGAAAGAAAAGAATAAGCAAATCCTTTGGAAGTCCGCACTGAAGAGAACAGGATGTCTGCTGAAGGTCATTAATCCTGAAAGGACAGCAGCAAAATTTATTTTGTACCAAAATAATTAATTTTTTGCATCTGGAAGAAAGCCGTCTTCAAAGTTGTTTAAAAGCATAAAATTACAAATGATAGGTTCTTTAATCTTCAGTCAAAATTCCTGAGACGTTAAATTACACTGTTCTATGAGGATTTTACTTCTTAACTACAGTAATGAAATTCTGTATCAAACTACACAATAAACTTTCAGATATCTGGCAGTAAGCACAAACTTGTAATTAAAAGATACAAGAAATCCACAGGTCTTACATCAGTGTAGTGAGCCAATATTTTCCAATTTCTGTATCTTGCCTCTAAATATAAATGGAAAACTATACTAAGAAAATATTTGCAATGAAAACGGAGTCTACTGCTAACACAGTGAATCGAAGTAAATTAGCCCATGTTGAGTTTGGACGAGAACCATAATCTGAATTTTTTGATTGAATTTTCATTGACTAATTAATTGAGAGCATCTCCTATATATATACTACACTACTTCGGCCATGTGCATCAAAATGCAATGACATGCACTAAAATTGGTGAAAACACAATTCATCATCAACCTAAAGGCCTTAACTAT